TCACCAAACTTGACATATAATTCACCATTTCGATAAACCTTTAAAACAATTGTGAATAATTGTCAATCAGCTCACACAACCCAATGGACATTTCAGTGTCTATACTATGAGACGGTTTAAGCAACTACAAATATATTAAAAGAACAATATCATAAGTTCTTAAAAATTCAAATGCAATACAAAACTAAGTTTAATTCTACTTTCTTCGACACTAATCCCACATATTAGAAGTTGATAAAACTAAAATGCCACAATTAATCGTCCCAAAATACATGTCTTTTATTACATTACTGGTGGCCAGTAGCTCTAGGACTCTAAACCAATCGCTTTATTATACAGTAACATAGTTAAGACCTTTAGAAAAGGGTCGGATTGTAGCCTAGGAACTGATTATAGTAAACATTAGTCACACACTGAACCTAAACCTATATTCATAAACGATTTACATTTCTCATAACGATCTCATTTCACGATAACAATCGTACTAATTTACATACCACTTTTGACCAAACCAGGTCATACACCAATAACGCATCTTATTAGGCCATGCTGAACGCACGAGGAATTTAAAGTACACAATATGGATGCTGTATTGTATTTAATCACTCGGGAAGAATAGTTTCAGTTGTGAGGTTTGAAAGGGAGATGTAGGGGGTGTTAGGTAGTAACCACATCAACAGGTAACTCTGTCATTGTAGTTCACTTGCACTAGTTACGTACGATTCATTGAGATTGCATACTGAGGCCAAGAAAGTAATCAATTTGTTTTAACTGCTTTGTTTGTTGGCCGCGTTTCGATTTGGCTTATATTGTCGAACTTACAGTAGTAGGTACAACTTATTTCTTTGGAAAAGCATTGAATTTAGTTAATTATTTATAAATTTGCAAAATATACCGTTGAAAGTATGGATTTACCAATTTGCATACCGATTTATATTTCTATAGCATACAATATATTTGTATCGTTGGTCTTTATTAGAAAGTATACAACAGGAGGACTTTTTACATAAACCTTTTTAAACTGTAACTAAAACTTTCAACACTTGTCATTTACATAGATTCGTAAAATACTAAACCAATATTTGTCTAACACAATTAATATAGGCCTAAATAATATAAACCTGATTTTAAATCTTATTTAAAATAAAGAATAATTTAATTTACAATTTTCTAATATTGAGTAGCAACACGCATGAACAACACGGAATAAAAGAACCACAAGCGCTATCAAAACTGAGTTAGTAAATATGGGTAAGAACTAGATTAAAATATTTTAAGTGTAGGTAGCAAATGCTGGTAAATGACCGAAAAGAGTGAATACAGGACCTTATAAAGTTCTGTATTCAATAATTATCAATTATGTATTATTTAAGGGAATATAGAAAACAAGCAAGTATTCTGATCAGTTGACACTTTGAGATTGAATGTCTTTGATAATTTAACGAATTAGTTTTCATATCGTATATTTGAAATTATAGAGTACTAGCTGAACCCGGCAGACGTTGTCTTGCCTTTGACTATTTATAATTTAAGTACCGTTACGTTTAATTTTCAAGATGATCTCGTTCGCATGGCTCAATCACGTCCAGGTTGAAGTTCGTTCGCTACGCTCACTCACCTTTAGGTTGGAGCTCGTTCGCTACGCTAACTCACCTTTTGGTTGCAAATTAGCTGTTGTCATAAATGTAAAAGAAATAATAGTGCTGCACCCTGTTGGTAATCCTTGTAACTTTAATGCTATTGAACATCATAGAACAGAACCAACTTGTTAAATTGAAACAGCTGTTAAGATTCATTAATTCCATTTCTCATAAGGTTAACATGGGAAACTCCAGAGCCACTGGGGCGGAGCCCTTTTGACGGATCAGCACCAAACTTCACACAAACCTTCCTTGAATAATGCTTAATAATGCCTGAAAGTTTCATTACAATCTGTCGAGCGGTGTCCGAGTTTATTCCTGCCAAACAAACAAACAAACAAATATATATACAAACATCCTCTTTCATACTTATAGATTACATATTTTAGATAATACATATGGATAATGTAAATAATATTAAGTGAGCTGGTCTATAGTAGTCGAGCGCGGGACTTCGGTTATTGTGGTTCCGGGTTCAAATCTTGCCAAATCACCAATGGACTTTTTTAGTTATAAAGCCGCAACCTTTAGGTTTAGCCTAAAGTTATGTGCTAAAATTCCCAGGCTCTTGCCTAGCGTCCTGGGAAAAAATTGAGATAATATTGTGTATACTATTAATTATCCAATATCGTTCGGTAATGTGATAAAAAAGCCAGCTAAGATGAATCCAACACTTAATTATCAAGGCAACATTCAATATGCAGTCTCTGCTGGTGTGTTACAGGGTGAGTGGAGGGAAGACAGTTAACAATTGGATCAAGAGCCAATCGAGTGATTGTACCAGTTGAAACTCAAGCAGTGACCGTGTTCCACTTTGTCAGATGAATCTTTAGCAAGTGTAGTCAGTTGTTTGATCATTTCTTATCAAAAATGTTGTTGATTCAGTTGATATTTTAGTAACTTTCCATTAATAAAAGCCTAATGATCAAGGAAAGCTGGAATATGATTTAGTATTTTGAAGTGATTGCACACACATACACCTAGATACAATTCATACACAGAAATAGAAACGCAGTAAAACTCATAATGGAAAACAAGAGCAGTCATAAAGTACCAAAAATAAAAAGGTGATAAACAAAAAAAGGAATAACAATTTTTGACTTAGAATGGAGAAATCTGATCTTAGTAATGAGTCGGTTTTTAACTTTTATTTTACTGATTAGTGTTGGCAAATTACCGAACTCATTCTTTAAAAGTATAACATTACATCCCAGTTAATTACAGTTCTCAATATAGTAATCTCAAAGGTAATTTGGTGTTAGATATCTTTAAACTTAACAGGAATCGTCTCTAAGTTAATAAATTGCGTTAACTTGTAAGTTAACTAGTCGTAAGTAGACGTAACTTTCAAGTAAACTTGAATATCAAGTTAATACTTACGTCGTAGGAGGGCTTGAATCCCCCGAATCTTCCACAAAAACCCAACTTTTCACAAGACAACAAATTTGACATAAAAGCAAAATCTAATGTAGATCTAAAACCTACCTTTTATTTGAGTAGAGTAAGAAGCTACAAGGGACAAAAACCATTGATGTCAGTGTTTTTTTTTTTTTTTACTTTGCTCTATAGATAGAAATTTTTCTCAACAAGAGTTTGCTAGAAACACTTGTGTTGATAATTTTATCAATGCATCAAAAGCGTCTGGCACATCCCGAAATAAACTCTGGAGGAGTTGTGTATTTTAGAATAATGGGATCTTAAATTGGTGTTTTGGAAATTCTTCGTAGAAAATGAGGCTTAAATATTAAGCTACCCTATTAAAAAATACATCTATTTAAAGGTTTATTGCGGACATTTTCCATCACGATAGTAAAAAAACAATACACAACGTTTCGGGATGTGGAATCTGATCCCGTCCTCAGGTGAAAAAACTTAACTAACACATTACAACTAACAATACACAAACGCTCAACCTAAGTTGAGTTAACCTAAGAGGTTAACTGTAAGACAGGACCATCAGGTCCTAAGTTCGCCTCAATAAAAAAGGATTTTCATTTCATTTAATTTAATTTCATTTAATTTCATTTCATTTAATTTCATTTCATTTCATTTCATTTCATTTCATTTCATTTCATTTCATTTCTAAGTTGGAATACACTACAGAGGGTAGCAGTCAAAAAATATGCACTGTATAGCAGTCAAGTCATGATACAACATGCAAATAATAACCAATCACAAAACACTATAATCTATAAAAGGTGTAAAAGGTGTTGTGTATTGTTTTTTACAATCGTGATGGAAAATGTCCGCATTAAACCTTTGAACAACATTAACTCACCATCACCAACAATGAACTTCAAACAAAGAAATACATTTAGTTATACCCATATTTATAGTAATGTGTATAGTAATGTGTTTAGTGTGTTAATGAGTCGGTGGCTCAGTCGGTAGCGTCGCGGACTTCGGGCCCAAGGCAGCGATGTCGTGGGTTCGGATCCTGGTCACTGCCGATAACATTTTATCAGTACAGTTCACCTTTGTACTGTACCGGCTCACTCCTTGCTTTGCTGTAAACGATCCACGCACGGGCGCTTAGTCTATGTGGACGGGCAAATGCAAGGTTAAAAGAGGCCGCCAACCTCTTAAAAAAAAAAAAAAAAGTGTGTATAGTATGTGTATAGTAATGTGGTAGTGGTGAATGTGTTCTGCAAGGTCATTTGAAAAAGATGTGGTTTACTCTACATTTTGTTAATTTTCTCCCAAAAATGATGTTACATCCTAGAAGGGATGAAGTATTCAACATACTCACTGTCTAAGCCCAACTACATACAACAGTTAAGCTAGATATCCAACCCAGGGAATATTTATTTATTGTATTTTACTAAAGTAAGTGTATAAGTGAGAAAAGACAACAATGTTGTAAGCAATAATGTAAATGCAATCCAACCAGTTTGACTACATGTATTGTAAAAGTATAATTTCAAAATTTGTAGGAAATAATAATAAAAATACACATGTATTACACCACCACCTCCGTTAGAAATAGAGTTAGTCTTTTTAACAACCTTATTCATATTAATAATTTAGTAAAAACAATATGTGTTAAAAATACAGATAATTTAACAGGTAACTATGTTATGGCATAAATAACTTTGATTGTGAAATGCTCATTGCTTTTACTGATTAATTTCATAACAAATCTCCATAACGGTTTATTTAGGGTAATGCAAAATGAACATAATGAAATTTTATAGCAATTAAACATGTCCCAACCTCTTTAAATTGATGGACAATGTATGTAATAATGTTTGAAAGAAAAAATGTAACATCAACATCAAATTAGCACGAGTAACTCAATAAATAAAGCCCCAAGACAGTTTAAAAGTAAGTATACAAACAGAAACCTCAATGTTTACTAACTTGATCCATCGCTAATCCACAACAGCCACCTCCAAGTATTCCAATACCACAGGTACTCCTCGGTCTTGTTGTAGGGAAGGTTCTCCAGAGAGAGGAAGTACACACACACAAGGTAGATGAGATCCGACACCGCCAAGGCTGTGAGGTAGGTATTGGTAGACGAGGACATCCTAGGACGAGTCAACACTACGATAGTCACCAAGTTACCAATCACCCCAAACATGATCACCACAGGTTGTATCACCCTCTGTATCCAGAACCTGGAGTCGTCCCTGAAGGCAAGGGCGTCCCCCAAGGCTCCTTCCAAGGTCTCGTTGAACGTCACGTTCACACCGCACTCCATGTCATGTATCAACACGACGGGACCGCGGCCCCGCACACACTGGCGAGGGGAGGGATCGCACGCTAAAAACAGCTGTTCATTGTTGGCATATGGTTCCCGCTCAGGTACGCGCCAACGGCAGCTCAATTACGGTAATGCGAATTTGGTGGCTGGTAAAGAATGAATTTGCGGCTACGGGTGAATTTATTTATTCAACCCGACATTTATTTTTCACAGGTTAGGTAGAAATGCAATTTGGTGCCTGTATAAATAATAATAAAAATGAACTTATGACTCTACGAATGTAATGATGGTTAATTAAATATTCATTCACATTTTATCATCGAGAAAAATTGTGGGCGTCCCTATTTTTATGTATCTTACAAGAGTGAAATCATTTTCCTCTATTAATTTTTATTACTAAATGAAAGATTTAACGTTATCAAAGATCTTCTCGTTATTTCGATCACTAGCTTTTCCCCAGTAAAAGTTGGATCATTACTGGTTTTTGAACATGTTATAACTTTTTACTGATATTTATTAGTATGGACTTAGATATAATTTAACAAACTCTTATAATAAGAAGAACGTTGTTTTGCTTAAGACAAACCAAACCCAGACGAAAAAATGTTATAACAAATGGCATCTCTTTGAAAATAAACTTTACAGAATACGAAAAGAAAACAAGTTTGCTTAAACAAGTGACCTAAAAAAAGGAAACCACAACTAGTTTCTTGCGAGAAAACCACAACAAGAAAAATAAAAAAATGGTGAAAGTAAAATAAAGTGGGATAGTTCTACTCAAGCGAAGTGTAATAAAGTTTCTTGGAGCTGAGCCACAACTACTTTAAAATCCCCTTCCTCTTGAATCATAATTAGATTTCAACCCGACCTCACCGCACACGGTTGAAGCCGAGAAGAGGGAAACTTAATGAGAATCGAGGGCGGCTGAGAGAAATGAGACATGGCCAACTAACTCTGTGAGATATGAGAAACATGCTGGAGTGCTTATTGTGGACACAACTGAGGACCTGGCATGAAAAAAAATCCTTATGAGTTAAATATGTGAAGCTTTTAATTTCATGTATTTAATCCTCAAGCCTTTAATGCTTTAAGTTCCTTTGTTCATCCTTTTTCCCTTACAACAATCTTATAGCTAATTCCCGACTAATTATTGAAATGGACACATAGTGTGATGGGATCAAACTTTTTCTGGAATTAAATCCACTCTAAAAATAAATATAACTAATTATTTTGGAATGAAAAAATGTGAACAAATAAACGGTACAGTATTAATTAGTAAACCATTATCTTGTCAACAACCCGGATAAGGAGTGGGTAATTGGTTTAACGAATAACGATATATTGTGGGTATAAACATGCAAATTTAAATAACTTTTGAAACAGTGATTTTGTGAGCATTAGAGGTTGTAAAATTTGTTTAGAGTTAGAAAGACCATAAAACACAGTCTTATTTGAAATCGGTAAAGTATCGTTAAGAAAATTAGATTGTTTTGTTTTTTTATGGGTTGAATGCCATTGGGAAATAACCATAAAAATTTAAATTTACCAAAACAATGGATATAACTATATATAGTGTTTGGTAGTCAGTGTCAATGCGTTTAAGGCATTATTATGCACGCAAATTGTGATAAAATACACAATTTGGTTATAAATTAAGGGAGACAGTTTAGCCACATATGAAAAATTCTTAAGGTGCAGATTTTCTATGATTGTTGTCTGTTTTCAATAAATTGTATGATTACCTTTCGTTTCAAAATCGGTTTTGTAAAATAACTGAAATTGCAAATAGGTTCAGAATTTTTTTTATTACTTCTAACTTGTATTTATAAAATAATTTACTTTTACCTGGATTTCAATGCGTCATGTGAGTATAAAAACCATGACTTACTACAACTAGTTGGAGATGTAATAACATAAATATTACTCAAGATTACTCCAGGCATAAAACTATAAATCTACCTTGCTCTCTACTTTTACTAAATGCAATCTTATAATTGTCCTTGTCTTCATTGACTACCTTGTAATGGCAGTTTATGAAAAAAAGATTAAATGTATGTTTAGCGCTGTGTACATTCCATTTAGACGGACATAACATGTCACATTTTGTACATAATTTTAAAACTTAAAATGCGGAGAAGTTAATATACTATGTCACAGTTTTTAGCTCAACGGAGGCTATAAAACCATTTTCAAACTAGTTGTGGCATTCTTTTTATTGATTTGTTAAATATATTATTAAAGTAAAAAGTTTTATATGGATTTTGTTGTAACACACTATACGTTTTCTTTTAGAATATTTAATGACAATTAAAAAAAAACATTGAAATATGAGTATACATGTTTAGATTGTCCAAACGTTGAGAAAAATGATATTTTATTCGACAATGTCAAGAGTTTTTTAACAATGAAAAATTGCTGTTGCTGGAAATAAGAGTGATAAAGCTATCCTGATTTCTTATTTGTATCACAGTTTTTGTGCGCACTAATGCCTTAAAACCTTTGCCAGCGACTACCAAACAACATGTATATTTAATTGGCCACTTGTCAAATTTAATAAGGGGGCATTAGTTGAATTGAGCAATCGACAAAGTGTCCAGCAATCAATGACTGATCTCTTTCGAAACTTTTAACAAAGATTTTATCAACTACTGCATTCTTTGTGTCACGTAACGAATTTTAGTAAGAATTTAAACCCCTTAGAAATGCTTTCTAAACTATATTCCTTTTGTATAACAATATGAGGTCCATAATAGATGAGATTAAAATTTTAGTACTGTACATGTTACTTTACGTCGTCTTCAAACTCTTTCTAAGATATTCAACAATCCAATACTCTAAGATATTCCATAACTTAAAGGAATTTTATAGGAACCATCTAAAAAAGTGTGGATCATTTAGAAAAAAAGAAGAAATGCCCTTTGGCCGTTAAGACGATCAATATTTTATTGTTGATGAGGCAAAAAAACTCCAGATAAATACATACCATGAAAACAGATTTGAACGTAGGCTGTGCATTTTGTAGAATTTCACATGCGCAATGTGTAGAATTTCAAGAGTTTGATGCTGAAGTTAACGTGTTTGTTACAAAAGGTGACAAGTGCAAGATACAAGTGCTGTGTTTCTGTGACGCCATTACCATTACGCTAAGTGCCGATGTTTGAAGTCGGTCTTGTAGTTTAGTGATACTGTAGACGTTTCCTAAAAGCTGAAAGTTTCCTTACTTAACATCGTATCTATTTGTAACACAACTACTGTAACGTTTTGTGCTACTATTACAAACTCCCCAATTCATACAGCTGCATCCCAGCTAAATGTGTGTTTTGCCGTCTAAAACTAATTAAGACAATATGAACACTACACACACAATTAATTTTTGTAAATGTTATTTATTTAACGTAACACAATGTTTAATACTTAGTAATACATAAAGAGTTTTTATCGATTTTAATTATTAGAATGTTTATAGTTAAAAAATGGTTTATGTAATAAAGACAAACAATTTATTTTTGGGTTTATTTGCACTACTATTGAGATTTCTACAGTTAAAGCATCTCACCGCTTCATATTAGCCAATGGTTGACCAAAATCACTACTTTTAAGCCAGTAAGTTAAACGTAATATGTCAAAATAATTTAATAACTACACAAATATATTTTCTAATTTAGTAACTTCTCCAATGAAAATACAATTTTGAAAATTAACTTGTTGAGCGAAAAGCATTAATAATTAGTAATACACTTCCTAGGTGGCAAACATGCTCTGAGCAGCCTAATGGCAATATGATGTGGTTAAAAGTAACCAGATACATTTTGAATACTGTATTATGATTAATGAATAGTGAAGCTTATTTCCCACAATAAATACAATGAAGGATACATGAGTACGAAGAGAAATATAATTGGCTACTTTATTCAGTAGTACAACCAGTTTTTTTTTTTTTATAGTTACAATTTAATATGACACCGTAATCTTAATCTAGCACTTTATAAAAAACATTGTAATAAAACATTTATTGAAGTAACTTAACGATTACCATTTTTATATACTGATTTTATTATACAGCAATTTTATACTGATGAAGAAAATAACAGGCATATGCTTGTAATATTAAATGTTTGAACCCGACACTAACTATGGCTTGAGAGCTATGTCGGGTCGTCTTTTGTTATTTAGTCAAAGTTCAGTAAAGTTGGCAGCTTTTTAATGGTGCAAAACTAAATATTATATTATTATTGGGCTTTTCACCCAATGAAGTACAAAATTCTCGCATAAAGTATTTACTGCCTTAGTAAGCTTTCAGCATGAATATTAGAAAAGAAGCGGTATGGATCATAAACATAAACGATGGACATAACTTGCCGAAATATTCGGGGCTGTTAGTAAGGTTCAATACGTAAATATATTTTTGGGCAATGAGAAACAATACAATGCAGTACCTTAAAATAATAATTCTGAAGAGAATAATAATGCTAGATGAGGATGTTTTTTTACGTTAGCAGAAAATGGAATTAGAATAACAATAAAACAACACAACCCTCTATCTAAAGGAATGTAACAGGGATTGTAGCACTAGCCTAGAGTATTGTAAGTATGTAGTGTTCGCTGGCAAATACTTGAGCACATTCCATTCCATTGAATAGTATAAATGAAATTCCATGTTAATTGGTAGTTAATTCAAAGGATCTTAATTATTACATGTTTCGCTAAATCAGTTTATTTATCTACTCTAAGTTGGTTTGGTAAATCTTACCGGTAAGTTAAAAAAAAAACGTAACGGTTTAACTAATATAGATTAGATCACCTGCTTGCTGTCAAAACTACCCTTGGTGTTTACAAAGACTTCAGCTGTTTTGTGATGGCAAAAATGGAGCATATTTTAAGGTCACAAAATGTCTTGCTATTTTTTCTCATGTGGTTCCATTTAATAAGATTCATCAAGATGTGCTCCATTTTTTACATCACGAAACAGCTGAAGTCGTTGTAAACAAAGTAGCAAGAAATTGTTTCTGGTTGAGCTG